TTTACGACTTGTGGACTTCAACTCCCAGAATTCCTGGGAATTCTGGGAGTTGAAGTGCACAAGTCGTAAAGTTGCCAAGGTTGGAGACCCCTGATCTAGACTGCACAAGCGGCTTGTTTTGAAAGGTAGAAATAGTGAAGTCAATAGGATGGCTTGCTGGATGGATTACTTTCTCCAACTTGGTGGCTGTTGGATATGGGGCTGCCAGTGTCAGCATGCCTAAACCCACACTGGGAAATCCTCATTTTTGGAGGCTTAGATCGTAGAAGACTGACAGGTGACCTTTGATTTATGAGCGCTTTCACATGTGGAATGGCCATTTGATGCTGTTCGTTTAAATTATTTTATGCATCAAATTTATATTAGCTGTCCATCTTACAAATGTTGATTCTAGGGAACGTACAATAAAAACAAAACAAAACAAAACTCTCTAAACTAAAGCATAGGAGAGTGATTTCAAGATCTTACTTAAATACAATATAGCCTTTTCACAGGATCCCCATGCTTCATAGTCTTAAGCCTGACAAAACCAGGTTTTCAAGGATTTCTGAAAAATCAGAAGGCTTGGATATCAGTCTCTTTGGGGGAATGATATTCCATGGCAGAGGAGGCTCACCTCCTGGGTCCCGTCTATTATTTCAACTTATGTTTTGTCTTCCTGGATAAATGAATTTCTTTAGCATGCTATGGTCCTCCTCAGATGAACTTTAAAGCTCCCTGACTCCACCCCTCAGTATCAGATTTCTCAGGATCGTGTAAAAGTTGTTCTGACTCCTGTTTGATGGTGCAGTTCTGGCTCAAGTAGACTCCATTGCCTAATCTGGACTAGGACAAGTTAGGCTAGTTAGCTGACCTGAGCTTTCCTTTCATATCATTGCGTATGTACCGTTTCCCCGAAAATAAGACCCAACTGGAAAATAAGCCTTAGCATGATTTTTCAGGATGTTCGTAATATAAACCTTAACCCAAAAATAAGCCCCAGTTAAGATCGTCAATCAGACGGAGGCGTTTAATACTGTATTTCCCCCCCAAATAAGACCTAACTGGAAAATAAGCCATAATGCTTATGTCTTTTGGAGCAAAAATTAATAGAAGACCCAGTCTTATTTTGGGGTAAACATGGTAGTCTTTCCATGTTGCTCTAGTTATGGCTGTCTTCAAAAGGCAGCAAAGTTAGGGCTGCTAACTTTGATTATGCAAAAAAAGAAGCTAGATTCAGCCTTCAAAACTAAAGCATCTTGTCATCTCTCATTTCTTTAGACCGGGATAAGGTCCCTTACTCAGAGAGAAATGAGGTTGTATATAATATTGGCGTGTGGGTTGTCTAGCTTGTATGAGTCAGGAAGTCCTGTTCCTCGGGGCTCAAGGGCCTTCCTCTCCACCTTGAAGTCCTTAAAAGGAATATGGTGGAAATCTCCCAGTCCTAGTCATCAACCCTTGATACTAGGATGGAACTGAAAATGAAGCTGTTTTTTTTTTTTTTTTGTCTTTTTGAAGGGTAAAACGATGCTAACATGCGAAATAACCACAGCATTCCTGTTCTTCCCACATAGGCAGAACTGTGTGCAAAATAATGAATAAAACAGTGCAAAATGGAGCAGTGGAGTAAATTGCATGGCTCCCATTAAGTTAGGGAGCCTTCAATTAAAGAGGCTCCTATTGAATGAAAAGAACTTTATTTTCCAGTCAATGTGTTTGGAATCAGTCGTCCTGTCAGGTTGTCGGGGCAAAAAAAGTGGAATTTAACTTGGGTAACAACTGTTTTAATGGACACAGCTTCTTCCACTGTGGGCCTTTTTCTCAAACTGCATCCCTTCCCAAGATTCAAGAACCATGAGAGAGAGGACAGCTGTTCCTCCTGGGCTGCTGCCCACCGGCAATTTAGAAACACATTTGTTAAAAGCATCCATTTTCTTTCCCCAAAACTTGGAGAACCACTGCATTCATCTCAGCTGGTTACCCAGAAAGAATAACACGTTGGTTGTCTTGCTTTGGGTGTTACGTTTCTCAGACTCAATTGAGCACTCCTTAGGTGATCCCTAGGCCACTGTGTAATTAGTTTGTCTTGATTATCTTGACAGTTACAGTAAGGCAAATAAAGACAAAGCCAAAATACACCATGGAACAGTAATAAATTGTATTGGTATGCAAAGAATATTTCTGATTTGCAGAATGGCAGAAGTTCAAGACCGCTTAAGAGTGATGGGTGACCGTGACAGAACCAACACGGTCGGAGCCACCACTTGATCAATTCCATCTCCAGTTGGGGTCAAAAGCATCCACTAGTGCAGAGGTCTCCAACCTTGGCAACTTTTAAGACTTGTGGACTTCAACTCCCAGAATTCCTCAGCTGGCTGGCTGAGGAATTCTGGGAGTTGAAGTCCACAAGTCTTAAAATTGCCAAGGTTGGAGACCCCTGTACTAGAGAACTCTGGTTTCCACATTCTTGCTGTAAAATACCTCTGTGTATTTCAGTAAACTGACTTTAAAAATGGCCCAGATCTTTTGTCATTAAGGAGATACAATCCTAAAGTGGGAAAAAGCACCACAAGTTGGTTGTATATGAAAAAACTGGATCCCCCCCGTTTCTTTTAATAATAATTAATAATAATTTTATTTCTATTTCTATTTATTTCTATTCTATTTTTGTGGGTGATGGTGGTGGATTTTAGCTACCTTCCCATTTCTTGTACAGGTTAATAGAGGGGTAATTGGCAACACACGTACTTTTGGTATGGGAATCTTTTCAAGTTGCCTTGAAGGTGAGGGAGTAATGAATAGCAAAGGGCTTCTAGAGTACTTCATGCTGGCATAAGAATGTCTCCTTCCCTAGGCTCAGCTATCCACCCCCTTTTAAATTCCTGGAAAATGGTGTTAAGTGTGCCAGAAACAATTAAGTTTAAGTGTAGTTTTGCCACACAAGCTTCTCAATCCATACAATCAGCATGTAGCATGTTTCTCTCCTCTCTGCCCTAATGTTATTCCCCACCCCCCACCAATACATCTCTAAATAGAGGTCCAAATTAGAATTGAATCAGAACTCTAAGCCAAATTAGAATATTTTCCATCTGTGAGAGACCTCAATTCTAAATAGTGGGTGCCAAGCATTATACGTTTTATATACCTTGGGCCTTTTCAAACTGCTGAGCTGAAATGTATTATTAAACAACCTGGGGACAATCATTATGGAAACTTGGCAGGAAAAAATTGCCAGGCTGTGTTTGTGCCATAGTTAGGTGCGAATGGGAAAATTAAACAGATTAACAGAGTTGGAAGAGACCTTGTAAATCATCTAGTCCAACCCCACCTGTTGTGGTCTGCCAGCAGCCTGTGGAGCTGGCAGTGGAGTCGGACAGGCTGGGGAGGACAATGAGCCAGTCCTGGAGTCAGGGGGTCCGGACGAGGGCTCTGCGTCGGAGGCAGAGATGAGGCCAGGGCCATAGGGGAGCGATGCGCGGACCCCAGAGCCTCCAGAGGCAGATAACAGAGAGGCAGAGGAACAGGAGGAGCCTGTTCCTAGTGCACTCATGCGAAGAGCTGCCAGAAGGCAAGAGCAGCTAAAGTAAAAAGGACGATTTGAGAGTAAGGCCAGGAAATGATTGGCCCCTCCCAGAAGGCTTAAAAGAGCAGCAACGGCTCTTGGGATCTTTGTAGTTAAGCAACGTTGCTACATTTGTTTCTTGTCGGCGTCTCTTGCTTCTGAACTTTGTGGGGTTTTGCCAAGAAAAGCCTTTGGCAGGGTGCCAAAGAAGACAAAGGTTGGTGATAAGGCCAAAGGACTGTTTATGAAGAATTTGTTTTGGAATTAATTTGGACTAAGCTGAAAATGAAGTAATTCTTGGCTGTTCTAATAAAATATGTTTGTTTAGGACTGATTGTATCTGGTAATACTACTACTACTACTAATAACCTACTTGGGCCTAGGTTACAACACTGCCCAAGTAGGAGACCCTGCACCATTTCTGACAATCTCTTCATGAAAGTCTCCAGTGGTGAAGCTTCCATAACTTCCGAAGGCAAGCTGTTCCATTGGTTGATTGTTCTCCCCTCAGAAAATTTCTCTTTATTTCTAGGTTGAATCCTTGATCAGTTTCCATTCATTATTCCTTGTCTGGCCTTTGGGGAAAATAGCTTGACCCCTTCCTCTCTGTGGCAGCTCCTCAAATATTGGAACATTACTATCATGTCTCCTCTGGTTCTTCTCTTCACTAGACTGGCCATGCCCAGTTCCTGCAACGTTCTTCATATGTTTTAGTCTCCAGTCCTCTAATCATCCTGGTTTCTCTTCTCTCTGCACATTTTTAAGAGTCTCAACATGTCTCTTGAAACCATGGCAATACCATTAGACTAACAAAACTAATTTTGTTCTAGTACACAAAGTGAGGATGCAATTGACACTGTCAGTTTATGAGAGTGACATTGTCAATAACAATGGGGACAAGCCACAATCTAAGGCCCCGTGAATTTTCTCTGGGCAGAATTGTGTAGAAAAAAATTTCTTTCCTTCGGGCATGTATCACAAAGTAAATAGATGTGTGATGGGCACCAGAAGTGGAGAGATATTAGCAGCCATGGCTTTGCATGGTGAAGAAAATTGACTGTGAGAATCAGAAGCATAGGGGACCATGTGTTGTAAAAACTATATTCATAAAGCTATACAGATGAACACATCCTTTGTTGCGCAAAAAAGGTAAGCCAATTCCATCCAACAGACATTTTGTTTTTTTATAAAGATCAATGTGTCATCTATGATTAAGCACTCGCATAATCAACATGCCTTAAGTGGAGGAATGCTGCTCGCCAACTCTCTCCCAAGATGGTTCCCACCAGATCTACACATCCTCTGTGTAATAATCACATCTGAGATATTGTAAGAAGTGTGATGTCAGAAGACTCATTACTTTGCACATTTCACATCTTGGAATAGGAGACTTTAAAGTTTACTGTACAAAGATTTTTTTTTTTAAATATACGGTATATATAAAAAAGGACATAACATCTAATTTTTAAACAAGTTTATAATCTCCTCATGAACTTTGTTAATAAAAAAAGAAACAACTGAACAAAAATGTTTATATTATCAAGGCAAAGTTGAATATATAACACAATTTCTTTGCAATTCATTATCTTGTCAGTAACATGACTCCATCAATTAAACACATTTATGTCGAAGGCAGCATATGCACTTGTATTACAGACATCTATTATCTCCCACTGCTAGTCCTTCCAAAAGGAACTCAACATATGTCAGACTATATATGCAAAAGTTGTCTCCTCCTCTATTAAAGTGCAAAACATCACTTTCCAAGTAGACAAAAAAATAATATCCCATCTTTACTATGCCCACCTGCAGTATTATAAACACGGGGAGCCATCCCACTATTTTTCACCCCTATAACAGCCTACTATGCTGCCTTTGTGAGTAATTTGATAGAACAGAACTTAGTGTTCTAAGTTCATCATGAACTAAGTCTGATGAAAATAACCAACTATTTTGGCCGGGAAGAATTAACAGCATGCATTTCAGGTTGTATAGGAGCATCTCATTCACTTGAACCAATGTGATCATATCCTTAAAATGGTATGTACAAGCCATCAGTAATGTGACTGCTAATACAGGTAAGTTAGGCTTATGAGCCGTTTGTATTTAAGGAGATGCTCATGACAAATTCTAGTTTATTTGTTGAATGTCTGAAAGATGCATTACTTCATCTAAGCCAAAAACAGATGGGGGAAAAAGTAAAGGCAATTACGAATTAAACTTGGCTCAAATCTTTTAAGATGCAGCATTAATAAGAATGTCCCAAGGGTGAAATTACAAACCATCTGCAATAAATTCAGCGTTCTTATTCTGGCAGGAACACTTGATAGTAAATCAGATACATCTCTGCTGAAACACTGGTTATTTCAAATGGAAAAGGTTGATAGGTATTCCCCAAACTAACCAGGTTTAAACGTTCGAAAGTACATTCATGTTTTGTAAGATATGATTAGCAGCAATAATAAATCTAATGATGCTATGCATATTTATGTTAGCCAAACCCTGGAGCAGTAGTAGAAATCTTCTACCACAATGACAAGCCCTTTAAGATTATATTTTCAAAGAAACAATGGAACTCTTGACAGAAGAATTGGAAATATAATTTATGTGTAAAAAAAAAAAATCAAAATATGAATGCCACCTTCCGTGCATCCCTTCAATTTAAATTTGTACTACTAAAAAAACTAGGAAACTTGAGGAAAAAAACCCACAACTGCAGGACTAATTTATTTTTCTCTTGTAAAGGGACTCCATATATATTACCATAGTGATACAGTGAGGAAATCCAAGGGTTAGTGATGTTCCTATGAAGGCCACACTGGTCTCGTCTTCCTCAAGTCTGACCAAGGCAACTAAAAGGTAACTTGAACCTAAATCATCCATTTCCTTAGACCAGAGTTTCCCAATCTTGCCAACTTTAAGGACTTTCAACTTCCAGAAATTCCCCAACCAACCATGCTTAAAACGAACAAGATTGGGAACTGCCTAAGATAACTGTAAAAGGAGGAGTTCACAACTTTGCCTATTCATATTTGAATTCCTTTGGACAATACATTTAGTGTTTATATTTTTAAAGTACAACTTTTCGATTTCTACTCTACCTTTTTTTTAATTTTATTTAAAATCAGACAATAGACACACGGTCAGTAACTGCCCCAGCCAGAGGATCACACAGACAGTAAATTGACAAGCAGAGAACGAAACAGAAAAATAAAATTAAAAAAACAAAACAAACCCAACCCTGAAAGATTTAAGAATACCAATGATGACAGGGTTACAGCACTCACCACACGCACTGGAAAAAAAATCAGTATTCTTATGTTTTACACTTTGACACTGAAAAGTTCGGAAATGCTTTTATTCTCGTTTTTAAAAAAATGTCGACAAACAGCCATTTTGTTCAGAAGGTAACAGCTTCCTTTATAAATGGAAAAAAAGTAAAAAACGGTTATTACAAAAACAGCACCGGTTGCACTGATAAAGACTGAGTGTTTGGCAAGAGAAGAGTTTGTCTTGGTAACTTTGGCAGCCCCCAACCACCCCACTGCCCAATTTCTCTGCTCTGTCACCTTTTCCAGAGAAGAAGGTATTAGATATGCAGCAATCTGCTTTCACTTCTTTTGCTAAAGTAGCACCTCTTGGATTCCAACAACTATGGCAAAAATGCATCCTATTTCCATTTGATAAGGTCACTCCAGGATTCTATGCTATGGCGATCATTTACTCATACGAGATTAGAAGTTTATTTTATGTTCAGATACAGAAATTTTCCTGACAGAATATTAGAATTGATAGATAAAACAGAAGTTTAATACTACTGATGAACGTGGATGTGTATATATTTCCAGCGATCTTTAACCCTCCCCCACCACATTAAAAAAAATTGGTATCTATTTTGCTATATTCTTTGTTTCTTTAGCTATTGCAAGTCTTTGGGAGTTCTCAGATAAGTACTTGGCATTCCTACATAAAAACAAGGGCCAAAAGTAGTCATTGTAACGAATAATTAAAAAAGAAAGGTGTTTTACATTGACATGTCTCTTGTCTATAACTGCATAATTCTGAAGCTGAAGTTCCCTTTTCCTCTTAAAAAAATGTTTGAAATTTGGTTTTGATAAAATCAGAGTGAAAACCTGGATCATTAAACAATCTAACGAGGCTGGCACAAGAAATTACCTTATTCTTTCAAGAAACTCTTAATATGTTCAAATTCTTTCTGTGTAGCATCTTTGGAGATCACGAAACATATTAACAGAAAACCAGCTTTTCAGAGCTTGAAAGAAAAGGAAAACAATTCTCAAAACGGACAAGCCTCGTTGCCCAATAAAAATCTATTAACATTGCTAATCTAAATAAAATTCATGTAAAACTGAAGTGCTTAACAAGGCACATAAAAAAAAAGAATGCTTTTCCAGAAAAACCTTTCGGGGTATATTTTCTGGACACAAAAGCTTGGTCTTACTTGTAGCAGACCATAAAGATATCAAAACTGAGGAAAGCTGTGACTCATTCAATGAAATATCAGATTACCAGACATAGGTCTGAGTATTTCATTTTGTCTTCCAATGGAGCCAATATTGTTTAAATCTACAAGATTGTTAACCATCTTCTACCTTATGGTAAAAAGGAAATAAGAATATCATGCTCTTCCAGAATTACTTTCTAACCTTACAACCTCCAGAGAGGTTGGAACTGGAGCGTCCAGAATTCCCAGATGACATGGCTAACCGGAATAGAATGGTTGTTCTACAAACTCATGGCCAACACCTTGTATTTAAGGCCCACAGTTCCTAGAGATGTGAAAAAAGACAGGCCCTCTTTCCAAATGGCATCAAGATTACTTGCAATATTTTACTGCTGTTAGATCATTGTTTGCAGATAAGAACTTTTTTGTGCATTTTTCTCTCTCCCAAGTTTTTATTGAAGGCTTAGATCCATCCTCAAAATGCAAGAGAATCCACGGTGGAGGGAAGAGATTTTATACAAGAAGGAAAAGAAGAGCAACACGGGAGCTCCAGTCCAGATCTGTGGTAAGAATGGCAAGGGTTCAACAGCTGCTATACTAATAAGAGTAATTTAACAAATTTCTCCCCCCCTTTCCAGAATGTAGTGAATGGAATGCAAACAATAGTACCTATCACCATTTCTTTGCAGTGGGACCTTTAAGAAGTTCTCGGAATATTATATTTTTTGTAACAGATCCTGTTTTGCATTAGTGTAGCCAAATGTAGGGGAAGAGTTAAATGCTCAGGAAGCATTAGCATAAACAGGGCAATAAGCACATGAGAATGCAGGAACAACCACAAACTATCTTCTCCATTTTTCAGAAAAATTCCCCCTTCAAACAAAACAAAAGAAAAAGCTATCAAGGAGCATCTCAGCTAAGTTTACAAGCAGAAGTAATTTCAACCAGAGATAAGGAAATTCCAGAGCTTTTCCTACAGAGAATGGATTATTTTACAGCAGGGAACAAGGGCAGCTGAAGATCCAACCATATAACTCAATAGGATAAGCACTGGTGGCAAATGTTAGGCCTGAAGGCTGAGATGGTTTTATAGGCAGCATTAAATTCCTATAGTGAGTAATTAGGGATGAAGGAGGAAAACCTGAAAGGAAGCTTTCAAAGCAGCAGGTCCTACCAAAATATGCCATTCAAGCAATAGGGCCACAGGTGTGGCTTTGATATGAGACATGGGTGAATAGTATGTATAGTTGCTGTCTATATGCCTTCCGGTGAAGGCAACTGCCAACTTAAGATCACTCAGGTCTCTTCTCTTTTATGTCAAAAAGCATTAACTAGTGGCTCTAGTTGCTTTTAAGGTATCATTACAGATCTCTAAAACCATGGAAGTGCTAACTAAGAGCAATACGAACCCTTCATTAGGAAACCCATAGGATGAAAGACTGTTTACAATTCAAAACCAAGCTTATTTATGCCCAATCCGTTTTCTGAACCATCTACAAGACATCGTGAACACCTAATTTGCCTGACTGCATTCTTTCAAAATCGAATGCATGACGTCGTGTGAGCTGGCTTTCCAGATCTGAACATAGGCATGTGCTGGGTAGAGATGAGGCAGCGGGGAAAAGGGGACCTTAGCGATGAAGAATTAAATGTATAGCATCCAGAAAGGAAGGAAAAAAAAAATCTTTTTAAGACTGAGACTATATTGTAGACATTGCATTCTTTGTCAAAGAAGGAGCATATTTATGCTCTAAAGCAGTGTTTCTCAACCTTGGCAATTTGAAGATGAATGGACTTCAACTCCCAGAATTCCCCAGCCAGCTATGAAGATGAGTGGACTTCAACTCCCAGATTCCCCAGCCAGCTTCAAGTTGCCAAGGTTGAGAAACACTGTTCTAAAGGTTCCTCATGACCCTGAAGCCTGAAATAAGGAAATTAGTTTAATGAAGGTAGGAATATAGCAAAACCAAAGTTTGTTCCAGTGAACGTTTTTAAGAATAAATTATGCATAGAACTAGTCGCGCCCTTACTCAAAATGTGCTTTCAATATTAATAAAATTCAAATGAATGTTCAGATTCCTAATTAGGCTGTGAATTGCAATATATTAACCTAATACCATGTAGAGAAACTATTCTGATCTCTCAATTGCTGATGGAGGCTCTGTAACATACCACAGTGAATATGATGCAACTCCCCAAGAACCCAAAAAAACAGATAAAATGAGAGAAGTGGGAAGTGGGAAGGGCACAATTCAACCAAAAATGCAACAATAGTGTTATAGTAAAATTGACTAAAAACCAGCCACCAGATTTCATAGCTCATTTGGTAAACAAAAAGTGAGGCTCACAATAAGCAGAACAAATAAGAAAAACACAGGAACGCATTTAACAGAATGCATCACTAAGAATGGGGGACACTTCCCACCTCTCCTTTAGGATCAACCCTCCTGTAGAGACGCAAGCAGCAAACTTAGCTAAACGGATGTTGGCCAATTGTAAGACACTATTAGAGGACATGGAATTCCCCACACAGGCCAAAGATTTTCATTACTTGGAAAGTAAAATAAAGGCAAGTGCCCTCGTCACACTTTCTAGTCTTGGCAAATTTCAGAGCAGACACAACCCAGAGCCAACCGGAAAGTAACTGTGCGGCATATATTCCGACGGAGAAAGGCAGTAAGAAGATGAATGCAGGCATTATCGACTGGAGGAATTACCAGTTTATGTTCATTTGTTTATAAAAAGGTGCACCAAGAGTGTTTCCTCCCCCTCCCCTTTTCATATGCTTTATTATTCTCATGACTCCTTGAACTGGGAGGGCCTGACCCCGTGGCAGGCTGCTGTGGAGAAGCAGTGCTGGCTTCAGTCACGATGATTCCTCAAGTGCATTGACAACTTGCTCCAGGATGTCTGGGCAGTGATCGGCTATCTGCTGGAGAATGGCATTCGCAAACTCTTGTAGCTCTGCGCTGTCCTTCTCGGCCTTTTCCAGCTCGTTGTGAAGCTGCAAGGAAAGAAAAAGAAAAAAAAAGAAAACTTTCAGTTCCTGCACTCGGGTTCATTAAACGGCCAAATCAAGATTCAGTTTTCCCTCTAAGAGTTGTTAAAAAAATAAAAGTCTCCAAAAATAATGTTTTTTTTGGAGACGATCATATAATCTGAATATACACTGAAATCAACTGCAGCTCCTTGATCCATTAGATATGGGTAGTCCTCGATTTGCTACAGTTCAACCTTACAATGGCATTGAAAAAAGTGACTTACGACTGTTTTTCATACTTACGACCGAAGCAGCATCCCCATCGTCATGTGATCAAAATTCAGACACTTGGCAACTGACTCATATTTATGACGGTTGCAGTGTCCTGGGGTCATGTGTTCACCCTTGTGACCTTCTGACAAACAAAGTCAATGGGGAAGCCAGATTCACTTAACAACCATGTTACTAACTTAGTAACTGCCATGATAACAACTGTGATAGGAAAGGTCGTAAAATGTACTTAAAACAGTGTTAAGAAATATGAAGTATCTACACGTCAGTCCAAAATATATTTCTAAATGTATAATCTTATTATGGCATTCATAAATATTTTGTAGTGATACTATATTGAAAAACTGGTATAGTTAAAGTAAAGCCAAGCTACACGGAGGGACCACAGTATTTTATGCAAAGACATCTATGATTTTGACCAATTTTAAATTATGGCTAATGAAAATATGGCATCTCCAGTAAGGGTATGGCTAGCTGATGAGAGCTAAATAGCTTGAAATAGATCTATACTAGTCTCCCTTTATTTCTTTATCAGCAAATATAAATTTGGTATAAAATGGTTTGTCGTGAATTCGACTGTTTGAGGACTCCTGGATTGGAGCTGAAAGGCGAAAGGGAAGCAGTATGCTCCCTCCCATATTGGGGTAGACCATATATATATACACACACAAATTTATTTATATATTTATATACATGTGTGTGCGTGTGTGTGTGTGTATGTGTATATATATATGTGTGCATGCACGTGTGTGTGAGTTTTTATTATTTATATATATGTATAAATAAAAACATTTACTTAACCCTTTGGGACCTGTCTTGGAGATCCTGCAAAATTCTACGTCATCTTCCATCTTATTTAATATCTGTATGAAGCCATCAGGAAGGACTGTTTGCAGGTTTGGAGTCAGGTGTATTCAACTGCTTCTGGAAGCTCTAGGTTGACTATTTCTAAAGTCTTTGGCTGTCTCCAGATGGTAAAGATAAGGTATTGGAGAAAGAAATTGAGAAATTGCTTTTTCTGGAAACCAGGCTCCAGAGTGATAGCCTGATGTTGGTGGAATTGCACTTGTCCTAACCCAAGACGAAGCTTGCTAAACTCAGCACTCAATATTGAGTAGCCATATAAATGGGTGTGTTTTTAATCAATTTAAAACCCACTGATATTGACTATTTCTTGCTAATCAACATGGGAATAATTTACACTGAATAGAACAGATACAAAATTATAATGGACTTTTAAGAACTATGAAAAAAGCTAAAAACTTAGTTCATGGAAGACAACCAGTACAGGGAAAAAATAATAATACAAGTGAATGACGGACTATCCAAAAGAGTTAACTGGAGATATTTGGCTTCTGGAAACATGGTCTGAATTTTCTGGGTGGACTGCTGGCACAAGATGAGTTGCATGTCATAGGAACTGGTAAAAATGTTTTTGTGCAAACTTGATTTTGGCCAAGTTTGATTAAGAGGGCTTTGGACTCTTGGAGACACAGAGCCCTGACATATATATTTCAGATAAATATGGATATATTGAGAAGGAAGAAGGGGTATTGTTTTAATGAGGCCTATTAATGAAAAAATTGGAACACTGGCTCATTACATTCACAGCCTTCACTGTCTATGCATTAATGTTCAATATAAGAAAGTAAACAAAATGGAACTGAGCTCCTGATATAGAAAGCAAATATGATTTAAAAAGTGTAACGGTACTGATTTGGAATAATATGATTCCTATGTTTTTATCTGTTACATATTTGTATAGGGATTAGAATATGATTATCTATATGCTTAAATGTTCTGCTTTATGTTACTGGCTAACAGATGTTTTGATTTATTCAAGTAACTGAAGAATACAGTTATCTAGAGGTCAGGAAGAAGTATTATTTCATGAATTCTGAGGTAGTAGCAGCTGATATTACTTGAGAAAAGGGTGATTTTTAAAATAAGGAACCAACTATGGATATACATTGGGGATTAAACCTTTTTGGCCATAGCATGCTTATTTATAAGAAAAGTGAAAATAGATATGTATCTGAAATTTACTCTATGCAAGAGACCGTGTTCCAAGTTCTGTGTTCTTCAGATATCTCTTTTTCCTCTAATACTATACATGTGTATGTTCTTATTATTTATATTGTCAGGATTTGGACATAGCATTGTGGATTTTTCAGGAAGGGGGGTTAGCTAAAAGAATTAAAATAGAATACCAGAGAAATTTACATCTGTAGCAAAAGACTACTGATGTATTTATTCTTTGTCAAAAGTTGGAAAAAAAGAAAAAATATTTTTCTGGGTAAATATATGTTATTTTTCCCCCCTCATGAACAGGGTAAGATTTTGCCCTTTTCTTTCAATTTTTATTATTGTTGTGATTATTAATTTTAAAATTATATAAGTTTTCTAATGCCAAATCTATGCTTTTTTTCTATTAGTTTAAGAGTAATAGCTACAAAGCATGAAAACCTCCTTCCACTAAAATATACAAAAGGAATTCTGATAAGGTGATGTTTATGCTGACTAACTGATCATAGCAACTCCTGTAAAAATCAGACTGACAAATTGAACGGGGGTGGGGGGGACTAAATCAAGAATGATACAGAAGCTCAAGTTTGAGGCCCAAGATGGTGAAAGATTTGTTTCACAAAGAATAGGATTTAAATTCAGTTACTAAACCGAGTCATGCTGAAGCACGAAGAGAAAGATATTCGGGATACAAACAGTTAATAATAGAAAATCCAGCAGCATTAGGTATATAATATGGTAAAAGAAAGATTCCGTATAATTTATGTTTGGAAGTCACAAAAGTTTTTTCTAAGTACGCAAATATAATACATGGTTATATATGTATATTCAAATGTACATGATAGAGCAGTGATGGCTAACCTTTTTGCCACTGCGTGCCAAAAGCGGGGGTCGCGCGGGGGGGGGGGTCACGCGCATGCATGCCCACACCCATAATTCAATGCGCTCTGCCCCCCACGCATGTGCATGCAACCCCCCCGCTTTTGACATGTGATGGCACGGTGGGCCCCGTAGGCCCGTTTTTTGCCCTCCCCAGGCTCCAGAGGCTTTCTTGGAGCCTGGGGAGGGCGAAAACGGCCTCCCCCCCCAGAGGCCTTCTGGAGGCCAGAAACAGCCCGTTTGCCAACCTCCGGTGGGCCCGGTAGGCCCAAAAATCAGCTGTCGGAGCTGAGTTCATGTGCCCATTGATACAGCTCTGTGTGCCACCTGTGACACGCGTGCTATAGGTTCACCCTCACGGTGATAGAGAAACAAGCAGTTCTTTAGTTTAATGTATTGGTTAAGGTGCTGGACTAGAAAAATGTGGGAAGATAGTTGGGTAACTTTGGGCTAGTCCTTCTCTTTCAGCCCAATGCATCCCAGAGGATTGTTGTGCTGAGGAAAATAGGACTATTATAAAGCTTCCGAAACGACTTGATATCTTTTCAGAGTATGTATGTTTCTTGCATGCATTTATGTATTTATTTGATTTCTATTCCACCTTTATTTGTACAGCACTATATAATGCTTTCTTGAGCTGTACAAATAAAGGTTGGATAGAAATCAAATAAATACATAAATGCATGTAAAAAACATACATACTCTGAAAAGATATCAAGTCATATCAGAAGCTTTGTTGCAATAAGTAAAAGAAACAAGAATCTGGGGTGAAACAGACTTTCCACATCATTAGTTATCTAGCAGTTATAAGGAGAATGAAGAAATATAACTGAAACATAAAGCTTATTATCAGCAAAATAAATGTGCACATGTATTTTTAGGAACCATATCCATTCTTCAAGATCCAAACAATTTCTTGCATTGTTTTAGCCATATAATAATTTTTCAATGAAAGACTCCAGATTTAATACTTATCTGTCAACCTCTTGATATATATTGTGTTTTATGCTATTTTGAGTTCATGACATATTGCTGAGGTTTCACTTAGGTATTTTAACAAAAAACCCTCTTGAAAACAAAGCTTTTCATATACAGAATAAGAAATATTATCTAGAATTTCTAGATTACAAAAACAGGAAGAAAAATACTGATTAATAGTAATTTTCAGTCTGACCAACTAGGATATTTCGGATTTATAAAGAGAATATTGTTTTTTGCTGAAATACTGCAGTAGCATATTTCTAAATCACTTGCAAATCCCTTTTATATAGATTCAACACAAACACACTGAAGATTCTATTCCAGGTTAATTCAAGGGCAGATTTGCTCATTTATACTTTAAGCACCAGAAATGCTTGGAACCAATCTTATAAAAAAGGGTATACTTTAGCCTTGTCTGGATGTAATGATTAATAGCTCAGTAATATATGAACGAATCTCAGGCTTTTAAGCTATCTTACACTCTATAAACGGCGGTTAATTGTAATTAGGGTGGACCTGGGAAAAATTTAATTGGGTCTTTGGGCATGTCTAGGGCAATGTGACATAGATCAGCTAGGATTTCTTGGAAGTTGTGTATAAAGTAATTTTACACTCTGGATAAAATGTCCTCACAAAATTTTTCTCTTTAATAGATGTTATTTTACTTATTCTAATATCGGTTAAGCTGACCGTACTGAATTTGGGGGCTTTTCTATCCATTCTGGAAGAAACATGGAATTTACCTTTGAATCATGCATTGACAATATATTTCTGAATTCCTATTATTTAAGAATAAGCAGTACCTACACCTTGAAGTACCCTTTATACTCTGAAGTAAAAAACTGCACACTTTCATTTCGAAAATAAAACAAATTCAGACATAACTAAGGAACTGCCATGACCTGCTCCCAGTTTAAGCATCCCAACGAAAACGTCAGATTCTGACCTGCTCCAGAGTCATCTTCTGCAGCTCCTTCTCCCAAGCTGCACGATTCTCATCCAGGTGGTACGATGTGGGAGGAGTGAGTCCACGGAGAATCAGAGGGTCCCGGTCATGGCATAGGGCTGTCAAATGTCCAATATATAACTTCAACTTGCTACGATTCTGATCAAGGTCTAAAAGAGGCTGAATTACCTAAAATAACAGAAAATAATTCAATCACATCCTGAAACAGAAACAAAGGGAATGTTTAATGAAATTTAATAAAAGAAACTGGAGGAAAGCTGAGAGAAACCACCAACTACTGGGCAAGGGGAGGGTATGTGTGGATCCAGTCTCAGAAGACTTGCAGTCAACTTTTGTTTAACTAAAAATTACTTTTAGGAAATGAACATTTCATACAACAACCCCTCCCCACCAAATTACTGTACCCTAGAATACTACTTTCAAATATTTTGAATGCAGGGAGCCACATTTCTTTTTGATCATGACCAATGAAACATTAGGCAGTATGAAATGAAATTTCTGACAAATGATCTACAGAACTTCAGCAAAGACTACCAATGGCAAACCTCTGGCTGCCTAAACGTTCACTGCAAGCAGAACTATGGCTGCACCTGCTGCTTGTCAGCAGGCATAAGGTATCTTTCCAACTATACCCTTTAACCCTAATAATGAATGTGGAAGTGTGATAATCTCTCAGTCAACAGAAACAGGTGCTGGTATTACTTTCAACAGTGTCGATGAATACACAATTGTTCTGGCTCCTTTGCTATGTTTCCAACACTCTGTGAATGGATTAATGGCCATGCAATAGGAGGAGCTGAAAGCTTTAGATTAGTGGTGTCAAAATCCTTTCCCTGGTAGAACCCTGTTTATAGTACAACATTGGGATTAACATTTTAGCGCTGTATAAAGAGGCAGCATGGAATAACAGCACAAGGAACCTAGGTGGAAAATATCAACGGTCTTTGGTTACAGAAGAAAAATTAAAACACGAGGGAGTGTTTGAATAGGTCTTCACTGATTAAAACAAATATGTTTTTATTGAGATGATTGACATATCTTTCTCCCATGGAGTATCTCCTTCTTGACAACTAAAATATATCAAAAGCACACTACATGTCTGAAAGTGGAACTTTTTGCCTAAATACTTTCTGCCTCTTTCACTTTTGCCTTTGCAGATGGAGAGGAGACTATATTATTAACTAATAGGAGTTGTTGTTATCAACATCTTTATCACTTGTGGGAAGCCTCCTAATTTGATCAGTATATAGTTTACTTTTGAAATGTGCTGACCCCGCTGGTTTGGAGCCAAGCAGAGATCTCTGAAGAGTTTGCTTATTTCCCTTGGGACTCATTTGCCTCACCAGTAAGTATGTCTTATCTCTAGACTTCTCCCACATCTAATTTGAGCTGACCACTTAGCAAGAGCTGCACCACTTCCCACAGCGGCAGAGCTTATCTTGAGAGGATACAAAAGCACCTGCCAAATAGACAGGGCTGATGGACCAGATCACAAGTCCTTGCACCACCTACATGCCTTCTAGAGCGCCCATCAACGAGAGGGGTCCTTCCCAACAGGCAGGAATGTTTTTTTAAGAGGCTTCCTTACCTAAAAAAAGTGATTCTGCCCTAGCAGCATCTCTTCATTTGTCTGTTTTTCAATATTTTTTGAATATAACTTGCTGCTGAATTTCCTAAACTTGCTTCAAAGCAGGGTGGATTTGATTTAAATCGAGTTGATTTAAATCACAATTTAAATCATGATTTAAATCACTAGTAAAAAGGCTTGATTTAAATCAACTCGATTTAAATCATAATTTAAAAGAGCAACTGTCATCTCTGCTACTCCTTTGACCCACTGTTGACTCACTGATAGTCCCAGTGTTGCAGAATATACAGCCTCATGCTATATAACTAAGTTCCATTTCATGCTGAATAAACTAAATTATTTATGTATCTTAAATAGAAAACTATCTTACGATAGATTTTTCCCCCAAAAGTTTTTTATTAAAATAAATTCGATAAAAATCAAAAAAATCTGATTTAAATAAAAAAAATCTGATTTTTTTGATTTTTTTAAAAAAATCATTGATTTTTATCCACCCTGCTTCAAAGTGAATTGCAGAAACTGACTATCACAAAGTATTATTTAGTTACACGTTTTAAATCTCAATGCAGAGAAGAATTTCAGCTGTGCTAAGGATTGAAATTTATTAACTTCATTAATTTATCTTATGGGATTGTTCTTAGCATAGGTCTCATATAGTTGCAGGATATGTTTGTTTTTTTCACTGTGCTTCCTCTAGTTCTTACTACAAAGCGCTCAGTATATGATGTGATGTGTTTTGTTCATCGGTTAGATTGTCTTACAGCCTAATGTTGATGAAAGTTCAGAGAAAGTAACTAGCCCAAAGTCACACAGTTGCCTTCCATGTCTAAAGGAGGACTAGAATCTGAGGCCCAGACTTCTAATTAGATTCGGGCCCTTGGTACAAGTTTTATATTCCACGATTTTGATAGGCATTCCAAGTTCATAAATCTCTAGAAGGCAACCATCCCAAGTAGTATAATCACCACTAAGGTGACAATTTTGTTTGATTTTCTCATCCACTCAAATTACCAAGGAAAGAATTTATCTTTATGGAACATCTTTCATAAATTATCATTCCAGTGGTAACCTTCACATAGGATTTTTTCACTAGTAACCTCTCTTGCTATCCACACTTAATTCCTCTCCTATCGGCCTACTTTTCTCTGCCACCCAAGTGTTGATTCTTTAACTCTCTGCTCCTCTCCCCTTACTGGCAGCATGAAATGTTTTTTATGTGCTAGTTTTTCCTTTTCTTAAAATGTTTGTGAAACTGGAAGTGCACTAATACTTATAGGCCTTAAATAGAAAAAAGGAACCACAAATAGTGATAATGTGATTTTATGCTGCTTGTAAGAAGCAATAAGACCTAGATATCAGCTCTTCTAAGATACAACAGATAAGGAGTTAAGGTTCCTCTCATATACTTCAATATATTTCCACCTCTCCAGTTTGTTGCCAGTTAGTCATCTTTCCAACATCTGTGACTTTGTGATGTTCTAATTTTTCAATTTCCTCTATTCATTTTCTCTTTGAGGTTAATCGCTTAATCCTCTTGTTATCTTCCTGCTTATTCTTTGATATATCTGACCCTGGGACCTCCACTTTTCAACCAACCAACCAACCAACCAACCAACGAACCAACCAACCAACCAACCAACCAACCAACCAACCAACCAACCAACCAACCAACCTGGATAAAAATCAATGATTTAGATTTAGAAAAGTGCGTATGTTCCTTCAACTGCACTTTTCTCATTATTCATGAAACCCTGCCTGCTACTTACTTTTTACAATAAAAATGTATCTGAACTAATTAACTTACCTCATCTCTTCCTGTTCATTAGCATTCTTCAACAATATAGTTCACTTATTATTACAAACCATTTAAACATACATAGAGACATGACAAAAAAGCAACTTCAAACACTACGAAATCACAAAGAAGCTTGAATTAAACAATTTTCTGTACGAAGGGGATTACTTATTTAATTCTCAGATTGTCTTACTAAAATTTAAACTTGCGTGTCTGAAAAAGGATAACAATATATAGATTTAGTAAATTAAAATGTGTACACAGAATCTGGTGCATTATTCATCTTCCAATCTAATTTTATTATAATGAACCTTTTACATAATTTTACATACAGCAATGTCAACAGCATAGTTCATTTTGCTCATGAATTATAATATAAGCAGTGGAAATAAAATAATTTTATTTATGTGTAATTTAATAATAAAAGATGGAACAGACAACTTTGTCAGAAAAGTTTTCTAGACATAAATATTGGGAAACAATGTTCAAATTGTGCTGTTAAATTATAATGGAAACATTTGTTCCTTCATGAATCATGCTATTGCTTTGCTGCAAATCCAATCGCATGCTTTGGGAGAGTATTCTCACAAAACAATTCAAAGCTAACATAAATTACAAAACAATAAAGCTACAACAAAAAGTAGGAATAACTTCTACATGCAAAGACCACATTTAAAAGGGAAAGGAAAGACACTTAAACCACATAATCACACAGAAGCAAGATGCAAGAGTGACCATTGGATATTTTTCTACTGGTAAATAAAGCCAATTCTCACCGTTCTGAACAAAATGGCTGAACTAAGAGCATCTGATTGGCTATGCCCAAATACCCTCCTCCTCATCCTATTGGTTGAGAGAAGACAAGGGGGAAAACCACCAGAGAAGCATGGGAATGAAATAAAGATCTGGTTAGCATTTAAATCATTCAAAGGAATAATGTAATAGGAAAGGGAGCACTATTTTAGCATACTTTTCTATTCTACTGTTCTGAATCATTGTATGTTTGGATAATTTACTTATTCATGATAATCTAAATATCATTATAGCATATTTTATGAACTAGAATGGCTAAAATCTCATTAATCTCCCCAGGCCATTGAGAACTATAGTGGAAAAATCCATGAGTTCTTAGTTTTCTTTGAGCCAGTATTAATATTTTCAGTAAGCTGGCCATCTTATATTACTGCTAATGTTTTTCCAGTTAGAAAGTTCTCTTGCATTAGCTATTGTGTTTGCTAAGCCATTTGATATCATCCAAATCATGTTTTAGTTTAGTCAGCAACATAGAAAGCTAGCCCATGCATCAGAAATTATAAATTAATTTCTTTTACATCAAGTTTTACTAAACTTGTAAGGTAAGGAGCCTATGATCATTTAGTGTAAAAACTGAGATTTTGCCATGGGGAAGACAGCCAATCTCTGCCTTAGAATAAGCAATAAATCACAGATCTTATTTGAGCATATATATTTCCAAATGAAGTGGCAGTTTCAAATAGTCCTCACATATAATTATAAGATTTGGTGAAGTGTCTTGAAAATTCTGATCTACTTTATCTACAATTACTTTTATCAGATCATTAGTTTAATTTCCTTGAATTTAGTAACATTTTGTTATAATGTCTGTAACACTACATTCTGATTACCTGAATGACCTAGTACAATTTTATATTTTCTTTTATTTGAAGTAGACGCTAATTAATTTAGCTATTTATTTAGTCATACAATTTGTCAGACATCATAATAAAGATAAACTCTATTATTATAAGAACAATCAGTCCACCAATACAGTCCCAAGAAGAGTTCTGAAACAATGAAATCTAATAATTTGCTTAGTGAGAATTCCAACTTTATAAAAGAAAAGGAAAATCATGATATAACTGCAACAAACAGTTCTTCGATTCTATTTCAGAAGAACTGATCCTGCTCTTAGATACAATTAAAAAACGGGCATATTTCAGTAGTAACAGATTAGTAAAAAAAAAAAAAAAAAGGAACAACTATAATCTTACCTGGTCTGGGGAGGGCTTATGATTAGTTTGATTGAAATGAGATGATTTCAGATTATCATCTTCATAATTATCTGCCATCAATTTCATGCGATTCTGAGTCTACAAAACAGATAAAAGGAAATGTCAATTTCATAAAACATTAATTTACACTTTTAAATCTATAATATATATTCATTACATTAATAAGTTCATTACATTACCAAGTGTCAGGCCTATCTAAAGAATGATTTGACGCAATCTAGTCAAAGTTCAGTTCTTTATTTGAATATACCGTATAGACAGAATCTTGTCAGATTAAACCTATACTGACCTCACCTAATGGCTATATCCTGGGAGATTAAACTCACGGCCTGCGGGCTGGATGCATCACACGCTGACCACGCCTACGCCCGATTTAGCAAGGGGGAAAAAGTCACAATGTCATGTGATGCTGCAGTGACGACGCGAGTTTGACATCCCTGTTCTAGAGAATGGCTATGCTGAATCTCCTCCTGTTCCCACAATCCTTTGCTGCCTCTTGACTCACCCCACTCCTTGGAATATGGTCCCTCCTACCCAGAAATCTGCTGTAGTCCATTACAGTTAATAAGAGAGGAGAACTTTCCTCTCACATACACCACTTTATCCTGAATAGTAGTATAGTTTATATACCTCCTATTTGGTGGGATGCTGACAACAGAATGTTGGGTTTCAAGGTAGTCTATAAATCAGCGATCCTACTTTGCATAGAATAGCATGAACATGCTTTTGGTAAAACAGCAGTTGTGGCAATTGGCTAAAATAGTTAATGGACCAGATTGTGTAAAAAGAATTAATGGATACACATTTCACATCAGGATTCAAAACAAGTATTTCAGCTCCCAGGGTATCAATTATTTCAGAATTCAAAATAGCTATTTTGGAACAAAGAAACTTTACCAGCAAAATTAAGCGGAAGAAACACACACATATATCAAATGGTTCCAGGCCATCTCAACAAATACATTTTTAAAAAACACATTACAACGGTTAATTGATAGGGTATTTATATCCTGCTTTGAAGAATCACTTTGTTTTCCTTTCCATTCTATTCTCCTGCTTTACACCAATTTAAATCTCATATCGATTCAGCCACTTCATATATCTGGTGAAGTGAGCTGTAGATCTTGAAAGTTTATTTCTTTAATGCAATTTGTTACTCTTCAACAAATTGCTGAGAAAGGAATAAAATGAAGAATGAGACAGTAACAGAGTTGGAAGGGACCTTGGAGGTCATCTAGTCCAAATCCCTGCTCACGCAGGAGACTTGTACTAGAGATTCGAACCGCCGAATTGCCGACCTTTCTGATTGACAAGCTCAGTGTCTTAGCCACTGAGCCACCATTAATACATGTGCTGATTTAGAGATAATAGACTTGAACAGAATGTTCCGGGCAAATATCAGGTTGAAGATTAGTTGGTGAATTCCGGAAAATGAATATATATTGGTACAGACAGTCCTCCACATAAGACCACAATTGAGCCCAAAATTTCTGTTGCTAATTGATACATTTATTAAGTATGTTTTGTCCTATTTTATGACTTTTCTTGCCACAATTGTTAAGTGAATCACTGTAGTCGTTAAGTTAGGGACACGGTTGATAAGTGGCTTCCCCATTGACTTTGCTTGTCAGAGATTCACAAAAGGGGATCACATGACCCCAAGACAATGCAACTGGCATACGTCAGTTGTGAAGCATCTGAATTTTGATCATGTGACCATGGGGGTGCTGCAATGGTCATAAGTGTGAAAAACAATCATCAGTCACTTATTCCAGTGGCGTTATAACTTTGAACAGTCACTAAATGAACTGTGGTAAGTCAAGGACTACCTGTAGTTAAGCAAGCACAAGAATAAATGGAAACTTCAGCGGACAGTTCTAAATTGAACTGTGAGTAAGGCAAAGATGTGTAGTGCTCCTTAGGAATTTGATATATTTAAAGATTAATGTAGCATTTAACTCCTCTATCCTGGCAGAACATTTCAAATATTTTTTAGGTTTCAGAGGATCTTTACAGAAAAGTGGTTATCTATAGCTAGCATTCCACAGTGAGCAAAGTTCAAAAACAATGTTTATTATTCTTTTTACCATTATCTCTTGCAGAACCCTCAGCGACCTCTCCTGGAACCCAAGAGTTCCACAGAAGCTCAGTTGAGATTAATACATATTAACCTTTTCTTGATGACACGAATGTGTGGGCTGGGGATTTGAAAATGTGTGTATTTTTGTATGCAGACACCATTTTGTCATCTGAGTGATCAAGTGATTTATAGAGAATGCAAATAAGGAGTATGGATCTAAACATGTCAGACAAAAATGGAGTTGTACTCAAAGAGGAAAATTAAGTGGATGATTGTAAATTAAAGATAAATACTGAAAAATTAGAAGAAGTAGATATAGGCATATTCCAGCACACAACAGAGGGAAAAATAGTTTTCATATAATGACAAATCACTATTGGAAAATTAAGAAAATAACAGTTTTTCATAAAATGCCAGATTGCGAAAGGCCCTCATTACTATTTAGGGCAGGGGTCGGCAACCTTAAACACTCAAAGAGCCACAAAAGTCCTAACTGGAAGCTCCCCCCGTTCAATTCTGGAGCCGACCGGAAGTCCAGTTCCCCCACCATAGTCTCCTCCTAGCACGGCGTCTTTTTTCCTCTACCTGTCCTAACTGAAAGCCCTATCAATTGTGGAGTGAACCGGCGACAGAGAGCCGCAGCAGAGGGATGGAAGAGCCACATGCGGCTCCAGAGCCGTGGGTTGCTGACCCCTGATTTAGGGTAAGTAGATTTTGACATATTGGCACAAGAGTCTTGTGAAATGAAATCAGTATTAGATTAAATTATCAATGTAATGTAAGAGCCAAATAAATATATCTTCTCAATGTTCTGAAATTCTAAAATTCAAAACTATTTTCTGCTGACAAAGCACTGGAGGCAATTTGTTACAATAGCTTCTTAAAGATAACATTTTAAACATAGTGCCTGAATATTTGATGGGTTTATTTCAGATAAATATCATTGTTATTAAAATAAATATGAATTCTTATCTACAGCAAATGATTTTATTGTCTGTATCTGGCAATCATCAAGTTTGAGTAAGCCCATGGATAGGGTACTATCTGGATGACGACAATCAAAAATGTGAAAGCAGGGGATAATTTAGGTATAATTTAAGAAATAACAGCTGCAATTATGGACTGACTGAATTGTTCAAAAAGTGAAGATAGCAACTGACTGAAATTTCAGGACAAACATTATAGTTAACACACCATAATTGGCCCATTCTAATTTCCCAGTCTTGCCTGGAAAAGACAGTGTAAGGAGAGAAATATGTTTTTTCAAGGACACATACATTTGAATATATAGTCATAGCTACAAAATATGATATATTGCTGTAATAGACAGGTATCGTCATAGAAGAAAACCTCCAGGATTTATAAAAGTAAGTTTTAAAAATGAATAAGTTATACCAATATTCCTAAAATAGAACTGATTATTTTCTGACAGAGGATCAATGGAGCCAATTTTTATTTATTTAACTTTTAAGGGCTTTGTATTTAATTGAAATATTATTGTGAGGCTTTTATATGAGATATTTCAGACAACATTGCATTGTCTTGACTTTATAGTTGGAAAAATTATATGTACTCATAAAATACAATATAACATAAGCACACACAGTTACTAAGAAAAGCAAAAGAATAAGGAAAATTACTTTGTAGAACTTTATTCGGTTATCCTGTTTGTCTTATCTTATTTCACTCCATGGAACTATTCCTATTTACTTAGATCCAGTTACTAGCTACAGTTAACAATCTTGTACTACTATTTCTTGGTTGGGCATCTGGCTGATTACTAAATTCTGTGGGAAAGAAATGAGGGACACTAAAATGCCCACATTATGCTCTTTCCAGAGAGGAAAGCCCAAATTATTCTCACATATGTACATTGCATATGTGAACATAAAAATTAAAACAGATGGCTGATAATATTTTGGCCATGTCATGTAGAAGAATTCACTGGAAAAAGCAATTATACTTGGAAGAATTAGTGGTAAAAGAAAACCAGGCCACCAAGGAACACGGTGGCTAGACACCATCAAAGCTGACACCAGCCAAAGCATAGAACAACTCAAAGAACTAGTGTAAGATCAGAAGACGTGGAGACACCTGGCCCATAGAATCGCCAAGAGTTGGAAAAGACTGAATGGATAACATCATCATCATCATTAATGACATATACATCATAAAGTCAGACCGTTGAACAACTTTCAGATGTGTAGACTTCAGCTCTCAGAATTCTCAGCGATTGTCATATTAGATAGATGTGGACTTTCCACCCTTTCAAGACTACCTTCCATTTTCTCTAATTGGTTGAATGATCTTGCAGTATGACTTAGTATGTTCAAGTGGACTGATTAGGAGATGCATGCTAAAGACATGAAACTCTTAAACTCAGAGGAAGAACAAATACCTGTTTGCGTCCTCAGATTGTTATTAAGATAATGGTGGGGTTAGGGAGGAAAACAAGGAAGCAGATAATTAGTGGTTCTCGAGTACATTTTACAAATTTATTAGAAACTATTAATTTTGTTACAAATTTGAATCTAATAGTTACTCCCTTATTATCACACTTCATCATAACGAACCAGGATGTTTTTGTTTCTCAGACAAAACTTGGATGAGTTACTAAATTTAAGTGACATGCTAAAGAAAGTTAAAATATTGAGAATGGATAAGCAACGCAAGAATCTAAAGCCCTTTCACAAAATAACTTTTTATAAAGCCAGAATGAGAGTTCTTGGAATGGAAAATTTATTGGTTTTCTGTTCCCCTTCTTTGTCTCTAGCCCATCTGCTCCCTTTCCTTTCCAGAAAAACGACAGAGGTAGAAATTTGACAGCATGAAGATGGGGTAGGAGGCTGAGAAAATAGATTTACATTTATTCAGCTCTGAGGGTTTGCAGTTTTCTTAAACTTTTCTCCACTTATGTATCTGTATACTTCACATTTCATATATAATGTTAATGTGTTATTCAGTCTAGGTTATGGAAGTAATTACAGCTGGAAAGCTA